TTTTTTTTTTTTTTTTTTACAAAGTCATCCTCTGCTGGGGTTGCCTCTGTCCTGTGTGGGTAGTCATACGTGCTTACTTCTGTTTTTTGTGTTCAATACAGCTACCCCCAACTGTTTGCAGCTGGGATGTTGTCTGGCGTATTCACCACTGGAATCATGACCCCTGGGGAACGGATCAAGTGCTTGTTACAGGTAGGGTTGTGATCTGGGGTGGAGGATGTGATGTGGGGGGTGGGGCTAGCTCTTTTCATTCAGTATACAATTTCGCATGGATGTTTATGTCCTTTCACCCTTTATAAAGGCTTCAGGTCAGGTGTGCAAAACAATTTCAAGGTTTTCAGGAATATGGAAGCAATCGTAGTAGAGTCAAGAACCAGGACAGTATAACAGACCAACCCAAATGTCAGACCTGCACATTTGTCAATCCAGACATATCCACCCTTATTAGCATCTACTTCAGGACCTCTGAGAGGTAAGTCATGTCTCATCGGAGGTGGAAGGGAGGCTGCTCTAGCCAGCATCTTCTGTCTCCACCAGTTGCCCTAAGGCACAGTGATCTTAATGTGCCTGGCCTGTTCCAGGCCGAGTGAGCTGGCCGCCTACCTTAGCGCATGGACTCTTTTTAAAAAATAAATGTTACCGCTTTTTACTTCAAATGGCTGAAGTAATTTAACACATAATTCTTGCTAGAAAATTTAGATAATGGAGAGAAGCACAAAGAAAAAGATGTATTTATTTCCCATGATACCACCCCACTGAGGTAACCACTGTTATGCTTGTGTGTGAATTCTTCTAGTCTTTTTGGTAAACATGTATGTTAAGAAATGTTATGTTTTGGAATAAAATTGAGATCACCTACTGCAATAATTTTATAACTTTCTTCACTTGATATAATATTTTTTGAGTGACTTTTTCTTAAGCATAATTTTCTGCATCTTATTTCATTACATCCCTTGTCTAGGGGTATGACAAATTATATGCCATAGCGAAGGTCTTTGTGAATAAGATTTTGTACATATACCTGATTATTTTCTTAGGATAAATGTCTAGAGTTGGAGTTAATATTTTTAAAGGGATATACTTTTTAAGGTCTTTATTGCATGTTAGTTACCAAATAGCCCTCCTATAAAAGCCTGTCACTTTCTAATCCTGTCATTAGTACCTAAGAGCACCCACTTCACCAGACTCTGCAGCATCTAATTTACAACTTCTGCCAGTCTGATAGGTGAAAATTTTGCATTGTTTTAATTTTTCATGCTTTTAATTGTTGGTGAGGCTATTTTGATGAATATTAGTTGCTTGTATTTTTTCTTTGTGCAGTGTCTATTTGTATTCTTTGCTCATTTTTTTTCTAAATTGATTTATAAAAGCTTTGGACATATTAAAGTAATTAATTACTTGCATGCAGCAAGTCTTTTTCCTGGTTTACATCTGTTATTCAACTTTTGTGTATTTTTTTAAATTAAACTTTTAATTTTGAGAGAATTATAGATTCACATGCAGTTGTCAGAAATAATATAAAGGAAAAAAGAAAGAAAGAATACAGAGAGATCCCATGTTTACCTAGTTTTCCTAAAATGGTAACATCTTATCAAACTACAGTACAGTATCACAGCCAGGCTATTGACATTGGTAAAGTGAAAACACAGACCATTTCCAGGACGCCAAGGATGCCCTTTCATAGCCACATCCACTTCCCTCTTCCCCCTCCAGTCCTTAACTACCCTAGCAACCATCGATCTGCACTCCATGTCTATAATTTTGATGTTTTAAGAATGTCATATAAATAAATTCATACGGTATGTAAACTTTTCAGATGGGCTTTTTAAACTCAACATAATTTTCTGGAGATTCATTCATATCGTTGCATGAATAGTTCATTCCTTTTAAGTAGTTCATGGTGTGGATGCACCACAATATGTTTAACTTGAATTTATTGAAGGACATCTGGGTTATTTCCAGTTTGGGGCTATTATGAATAAAGATGCTATAAACATTCATGTACAGAGATTTTCCTAAGAAAAACCAAATCTTCATTTCTCTGGGATAAATGCCCAGGAGTACGATTGCTGAGTCATATGGTAATTACATATTTAGTTTTTAAAGAAACTACCAAACTGTTTTCCAGAGAAGCTGTATCATTTCACATTCCCACCAGCAGTGTGTGATGGATCCAGTTTCTCTACATCCTCACCAACATTTGGTGTTTTTTCTGTTTTTAATTTTAGCTATTCTAATAGGTATATAGAGATAGCTTCTTTTAATTTGTATTTCCCTTATAGCTGAAGATAGTGCAGTTATTTTCATGTGCTTATTTGCTATCTGGATATGCTGTTTGATGCAATGTCTGTTTGTGTCTTTTGCCCATTTTCTAATTGAATTATTTATTTTTTCTCTTGTTGAGTTTTGAGAGTCCTTTATAATAAATACTAGTGCTTTGTTAGATATGTGGTTTGCAAATATTTTTCTTCCAGTCTGTAGTTTGTCTTTTCATTCCCTTAATAGAGTCTTTGGAGCAAATATTTTTAATTTTGATGAAGTTCAGTTTATTAATTTTTTGTTATGAATTGGGCTTTGGGTACTTAGGGTGATTGGGTCTAAGAACTCAGATCCTGAAGATTTTCTCCTATTTTTTTCCTAAAAATTCTATTTATAGTTTTTTTTTTTTACATTTAAGTATGTGATCCCATTATGGGTTAATTTTTGCATAATATATAAGAATTAAATTAGAGTCTTTTTTTTTTTTGCTTATGTGCTTATGGATGTCCAATCGCACCAGTATTGTTTGTTGAAAAGACTTATCTTTCTCCCACTGAATTGTGTTTGCATCTTTGTTAAAAATCAATTGAGCATATTTGTGAGTCTATTTCTGGGTTCTCTATGTTCTTCCGTTGATGTATATGTTTATCCTTCCACTAATACCACACAGTCTTGATTAGTATAGCCATAAAATAAGTTGAAATTGAGTAGACTGATCTCTCCTACTTTATTATTTTTTAAAAAAGTGTTCTAGCTACTTAATTCCTTAGTATTTCCACGTTAATTTTAGGATAATTTAGAAAATTGAGATAAATCTTGCTGAGATTTTGATAAGACTTATGTTAAACCTAGGGGTCAATTTGGGCAGAATTGACACTTATTATTTTGAGTTTTCCAATCCATGGAAATGGTATGTCTTTCCATTTATTTAGAACTTAAATTTCATTTCCATTCCCAAAGAGGTTTAATAACAGCATTAATTTCTATTAAAGAAAAACAAAGTTCAAATGCCCAACAGTAATTATGTTTAATATGAATACAGATAAAGGCTGCTGAGTAGACACTGGATATAAATAAAAGTATTATAGGTGTGATTCATTATAATTTATTTTACAAATAAGAAAAAAAGTCACTGGCTGAAAGGGATAGTTGAGATTTATTTTCTAATATTCTTTAATTTGGACGACCCATTTCTACCCCCTGTCAACTGAGGGAACTTCCTGCTATTAGACCAAAACGATGAATCCTTGTTGGCAATTGCCACATGCCATACCACCAGCCCCTGGCTCAGAGGAAACAGTGTTTGGCCTGTGGCTCTACAGTCTTTATCCTAACCTGGTTCCAGCTTTGAGGGCACAACTTGTGCCTTTGGTCACTTGAGACTTTTACACAGCACCAGCTGGTGCCCTAGCTCATTTGAACCTTAAATACTACCACCTACCAGAGAGGAGGCTTTCACTAGATTCCAAATCTGTTATTTAAATTATTTTTTCAAAAATTAAAAGATAGAAGGAGAAGGAGGAGGAGGAAGAAGAGAAGAAACTTATCAGAATAAGAGCATTCTAGGAATGTTAAAATCTATTCAGCTTTTGGCTAGTATATGAAATTACAGATAATAAATATAACTTCTCTGCCTTAACATTATATTCAACCCTATATCTAACATTATATGTTTTATCGGAAGCTTATTTATGATGTCTTGGCATGGATTTATTTGGGTTTATTCTGTTTAGTGTTCACTCAGCTTCTTGAATTTTTATGTTTATATTTTGCCAAATTTGGGAAGTTTTCAACAATTCTTTGAGTACTTTTTCAGTCCTTCCTTCTTTTCCAATTTCTTCCTGAAACTCTAAAGACACAAATATTTGTTATTTTGTTATAGTCTCAGAGGTCCTTGAAGTTCTGTTCAATTCACTTCAGTTTGTTTCCTTTCTATTGTTCAGATGGGGTGTTTTCCACTGCTCTATATTCTAGTTCACTGATTTTTTTTCTGTCTTTCCTCTATTCTGCTGTTGAGGGAGCTATCCACTGAGCTTTTAATTTTGGTTGTATTTTTCAATTCTAAGATTTTCGTTTGTCTCTTATATTTTCTGTTTCTGTACTAAGACTTTATTTCTTCACTGCAGCTTTTTATTTTTTCTGTTTCAGGAATATTTATAATTGTATTTTGAAGGATTTTTACCATGACTGCATTAAAATCTTTGTCAGATAACTCTAACGTCTCTTGTCATCCTGGAGTTGGCATCCACTGCTTGTCTTTTTTCTTTCAGTTTGAGAACTTCCTGGTTTGGGGTATGATGAGTGATTTTCAACTGAAACTTGGATAGTTGCATATTATGTTAAGACTCTAGCTCTTATTTAACTGTCTGTGATAGCTGGTTTTCTCTGACACCATTCCAGCAGGAAAGGGAAAGATGCTGTCTCCTTACTGCCAGGTGGAGGTAGAAGTCTGGGTTCCACATTTGGCCTCTGTTGACACCTGAGGGCAGGGCACTTCTTTTTACTGCTGGGTGGGTATGGGAGTTCAGTGTCTCCACTGACACCACAGGACGGGAGGGTGCTGGTTCCTTGATGTTAGGGATGAAAGTCCTATTTCCATACTTGGCCTTCTCTGACTCCACCCTGGCACATGTTAGGTACCTGTGGCAGCCCTTCCAGGGTGGAAGTCTAGGGTCCCCATTGGTCTTTGCTGGTGTGGAGATGGCAGGGCCACAGTTTTTCCCATGATGTGTGACTTAGTAGAATGTTTAATGTCTAAAGGTTTTCTGTCTTTCTAGGCTGTCCCTTTCCTGGTCTTTTGTCGAGAGATTGCAGGCTGTTG